TCATGATTTTGCATAAGGCTAGTTAACTTCACAACGTTATGGGTTTCAATATTGCAAAGATTGACCTGGGACTGAAAACAAGCTATTGAGGCATGCAAGACACTTACTGTACACAGACTACTTTTGTTTCTCTAAACCTTCCTACTACAGGCAAGCTAGAATGAAACTGGGCAAGTCAAGAGAAAGGGTTTCTGTAAACCAATGTGTGCAGTCCTTGGTACCATAATCAGCAAATGGCAGTAATAATAAAAAATAATGATGACAATGAATGGGGAGGACTGAATCAGGAAAATGTCCAATGTCACTCTAAAACAACTTGTAGAAAACTGTCTCCTGCAACCTGACAGGCCACTGGGATCATTACTCATGATCTTGTCAGTGCTTAAAACTGTTTTTACATGATCCAATTTCTTTCTCTGTCCAAAGTGCTAGGTTCTTTCACAAAGGTCCTGACAAACATAATCCTCCCAGTCTCTTTTCTAAGGGGCTTTCTAGATGTATCCACACGATAAATGGCAATTAGTAAACAGAGAGACCTTCTCCAAATTTCATCACGTTGGTTTAAAAACCTTGTCTGTAAGTAGAAAGTAAGAGGAAGAAATGGACCAACAGATACTTCCATATGTTACATAAATAAAAAGGGCACTTTCAATAAAGACAGAATTCTTGCAGTCCTTCTATCTCTTGCTAGGGAACCACGTCATCACATTACTAATGCCCCAACATAAGGCACACGTCTTCTTTTACCTCCCAGGAATTGCCTCTTAGAGAAAAGAATTGCTTTACATTAGGTTTCTTTTAAAATCTTGCCAATAACAAAGTGTTTCTCAATTATTTTATTTTTTAACTACAGAGTGCCTCAGAGGTCAGCACATAAGCCTAAAACAACCTCAATTCAAGCCTGTGAGGGTACTTATGGTTGTCAGCATGAAATTGGTTAAAAAAAAAAAAAGGAAACAAAAGAAAGTTAAACTCAGACCTAGTCTTCTGTCCCTAAAGGTTAAGATTTATATTCGCAACTTCTGAATGTAGTTAGAGACCAACAAGCCTTTGAAAATAAAACAAGCCTTTGAAAATAACTTTCAAAAGCAGTACAAAGTGGTTACATGTCAGAGATCACGAACATATACCTACAATAGAAAACCAACTGCCCAGTGTTAGCCAAGTAAGTACTTGTGGCTTGGGATGAATGTAGCAGCACTTGTGATCACATAGAATAGGGATTCAAAAGTACTGGTTCTCAAACAACTAATAATTGGAATGCTGAGCCCCAGAAAGCTGTGTTACGTCACTGAAACATATATAAAAATTTTCATACTTCAGGAAACTGGAAGTGGGAAAAAAGTAACATTTCTACATGAGGCCCCACCTGTGGTGCAGCTCTGCAATGTTGAAAGCCTTATGAAAAAGCAGGGCTCAGATCCCTGAATATGTGTACATGTCAGGGACTACTCGCATGCCCATGATCCTACTTGGCTGGGAAAGGTTGGTGATGGGATTGTGGCATGAGATCCTGCTGAGGGTGTGAGGGTGCTTGTCTTTCTTTCTCTCAACACAAATAAATAAATTTTTCAAAGAATTTCTGTATTCAGAATTTTAGGCATGCTATTTTAAATAGAGATAATGACCTGCATTAACAAATTAAATATCAGTTGACTTTCGACTATGTCCTAATTCTTGCATATTCCTAAACGTACATAAGGAATTTTCAAAATGGCCACCTTTTGTTGGCTCTTAATGGTCTTTTATTTAGGTATATATGGTATGTCATAGTTGAGCATAATGAGGCTTTACTCAAAAAGCAAAGACAAATCATTCACATACTTTGAGGGGGGGAAGAAAAACAGGCAGAGTGAACATACTGGAGGAGACTTAAAAGCAAGAGCCCATTCACTGGCACATCCAAAGGTGACTGGCACAATCTGATCAAGACCTCCTGGTGCCAGCATCCCCCACAGCACTCCTGTTTGGAAGGCTTAAGACAGAACAGCCTTGTTCCACCAATCTTAAAGGCAGCTGAGTCTGAATTAAATCACCTCTCTCCCAAATCAGGCCACAGTTATGATCTGTAAAGAACATTTTTTGTGTCTTGTTTTGTTCCTAACAACCCTGAAAGTTCTCTTTAAGGAGATACCCAACAATCATCATGAACTGGAAATACCAAAAGGAGAAAAAAAAAAAAAGAGCCACTGAAGATTCTGACTATGTTTCATGCTTAAGAACTTCATTTCTTTTCCTTTTTATTCTTTTTCTCTTTTTTTAATTTGCTACAAGGGCACCTGGCACTCTCCAGAGAGAGACATAGAGAGAAAGCGGAAGTGAGAAAGAACCCCTCAGGGGGGATGGCCATGCCACAAACCCTTCTCCCCCCTTTCCTTCTTGGGATTATAGGCATGCACATACACATACTCAGAGTGTTTTCCAAGCTACTGAGTCCAGGACTCAAACTGCTCAGTCAGCCATCTGGGATACAGCCACCTTAACTAGCATGCCAGCTGGCTCAAGACTTCATTTCTACCTAGTACCTCAGAATTGGAAAGCAAGAAGAAACCCTTTAGATTGTCTAGGGCATACTTCTGGTTTGATGTATTAAAAAACAAAAACAAAACAAAACAAAACAAAACAAAAAAACTCACACAGAACAAAATCCCTTTATCCTGTTTTGTTTGATGTTTGTTTGTTTGTTTGTTTGTTTTAATTGTCTTCCCAATAAGAGGAATTTCCTTTAGGATCTAGAAAGTCTTATTACATCTTTTCTTCTAAGGGTAAGCAGAACCAAAGGTTCTATTGCCATCGATGTTAAAATAAAATTAAATTTCGAGTTCTTAAAACGTGGTGTGTTTTTTCAAGTGACTGTTAGCTTTGATTTAAGGAAGAGGTAAACACATTTTAACACTCCACTAGCATTACCACCTCCTCAAGAAACATCTGCAAGCTCCTTCCAGACTCCCAGTCATATGGTCACCATTAAAGGTCACCACAATTGGAAATCCATGTCTAGGAACTGAGAAGGCCAATAAATCATTTAGAGAGGAGCACTGTCAGTCCTGAGAGTATCACAAGTAAAGAACTGGGTCCCCCATCCTCAAACCTAAATTTTCCTCATTTTAATTGTTATTTTTAAACCACAAATATATTAGTAAACTCTAAATAATAGTCCACATGAGATTTTTAAGCTTAGAAAATTTCTAATTTTGTTGTTATGTATTAAGTCAATAATGAGTGTGTATGTGTGTGTCTGTGTGTGTGTGCAGTACTAGCAACTAAAGATTTTCTTTGTCATCAGAAGTTCTTCAGTTTAGCTTTCACCTAATAAGAGGGCAGCAGAAAGTGAAGCCAGACTAGTGAACCACCAATCCAAACTTCTTGACGATAGAAAACACAAAGAAATAAAAGACAAATGAGGCCATACATAATCCACATCTCATAATCACCTTTGGGGTGATATTCAAACTTAGCCAAGTATCGTAGATAACTTAAACTCTAACCACATCACTTGGAGCAATATTTAAAGCAATAGGAACAGGTAGAAACCTGGACATACTTGTTAATGCAACAGAAGCTGGTTATATATGTAGTGGCAATATATCAGCCTCCATGATTACAAAAGTCAATGTCTTATATTAACTCTCTTTCTGTATGTATTTTAAAAGATAAAATGCAATATAGGTGAGAAAAACATACCAAGACTTCTCAAAGGGTGCTCCAAACAGAAAAAGTGAACAAAGAGAGTTACCTAGGAAAGAACAGGTTTAAGAAAGAAGGATGGAAGAGGCTAATTCAGTTAGTGAAAGAGAAGAAAGTTTGAGGAAGAAATAGTGCTGTCTATGAAATGGTTCCAAATAGCTTAGAACACGGGACCATAGGCATTATGTAGCTAATGTGGAAATCCGTTTTGACTTAATTTGCACTTTATTTCTGAAATGTATACAAGAAGATGCATTTTCTTCAAGGATGAGGAAATCCATGCCAGGAATGAAATAGGACAGGAAAATGTGTTAGGTCATGTAGCTTCATCACCATGTGAAGTGAGCATGTGATACTGCAAGGTTTAGTTAGGCTCTTGCCCTGGGAATCCCCATACTATAGAAAAGTACATTTTTTTCATTGTAAATGTCTCGCAGGTGGAATGACATGCTGACGCATGTAGCTTTGTTCTTAGTCACTGGAGAGAGGAACAGCAAAGAAGAGAACATTGATCAATGAGTCTCTGATTTAGACTCTCAGGAAAGTGTGACCCAAAACCTATAGTGGCAAAAATATTCTCCCTTTTGGGCTAGTAAGACCACAAAAGCTACAAGTTGGCTTGATTTAGGTAAAAGGAATATATCTGCTTCTTCAGCCACATCCTGTGCATTACGAGGTAGCTCCAGCTCCCCTTTAGAAATTGCAGTAACGATTCTAACTGAATATCAGAAAGTTTGGGGGTTTGCAGTTTTGTTTTCATTGTTTACTTTTGTTTTGTTTCTGCTTTTGGAGTTTTTTTTTCTTGCTTGCTTGCTTGCTTGATAGAGAGAAAGAGAGAGAAAGGAAGAAAGGGCATCCTCAAGTCAAATGAATTTAAAAATTTACATACTATTTTATTTCTTACTACCTTGTGTTTTTGTTTGTTTCTTTTTAGGTCTTTGCCAGAGGACATGTGCGCTCACCTGAGAGAGACAGAGAGGTGGAAATTGAGAAGTCGCTCCCTTGGGAGATGGTCATGCCATCGGGATTTGGGGCATACATGTACAAGCACCCAGCATGGTTTTCAAGCCACCAGGTCCGGTGCTCCCATAGTCAATCATGTAGGAGTCCAGCACTTTAACTACCATGCTACCTGCTCACCCCTTGTTTTGTTTAATTATCATAGCTTCATAGTTTTACATTTTCTTCATAGGTCATTCTCTGCCTCAGATCATCTCCCAGGTGACATTTTGGGATAAGAAAGGAAAAATAAAAGCATGATTTTAGAAGTTACTTTGCTACTTAGCTACACAATCTTTGGCAAGTTAATTTACCTTTCTGAAGGTAATATGAAGAGACATCAAAGAGTTGCTGGAAAAACAGAATTAAAATAAAAGCTTATTTTAGTGCAAAAATATTTTAAATCCATGTATCGTGTTTTCATAATATACATTTTTCATAAACTTTTAGAAGACCCACATGGTAACTACTTCACATATTGTTATTAAGCTTAAAATGGGGAACATGAGAATTATCTAGCTCAATGCCTGGTACACAGTAAATATTCAATAAAGGTGGATGTTTGAAAAAATATTCTTCCAGAGCCAGCAGGTTGTGTAGTGGTTAAGGCACTGGACCTCCACATAGTTAACTATTCAAATTCCAGAACTGGCGAATTGAAACTCACACTGGGCACATGCGTGTGAATGCCCAAAATTCCAAGAGGAGAATGGAGGAGAAAGGACTGCAGCATGGCCATCCCCTCTGAGGGGTGGTTTCTCACTTTCTCTCTGTCTCTGGTGAGCACACATGCCCTATAGCAAAAATCTCTCTTAAAAAAATATACACACATTATTCCTATGACTCTATAGTCATCATATTAGCAAAAAAGTCTGACAATAGTTAAGTATTAATGAGGATGAGTAGTAATAAGAACTCCCATATCTTACTGTAGGGAATGTGTGACAGATTAAAGATGATGATCATAAATTATTGTTATTTATCTATCATTGAGAAAATCATGATGAATTTTTCTGTTTTTCTATGCAAAAGTGTGTCATGACTTTCCCAATGACTCAACATTATATTTGCCAGAATAAGATTTGGTAGGTCTACATTCTCTCACCTTTGTTTGGCAATGCTTCATGACTACTTTGACCAAGAGAATGTGGCAGAAATTATTTGCAAGTTTTTAAGTCCAGGCCTTAGAAGACTGGCAGCTTCTACTTCCAGACTCCAAACACTTGCTCTTGGAACTCTGAGCCACCAAAAAGGAAAGCAGACTACCCTGAGGCCACCCTTCCTTGAGAACCCCACGCCTTATATACAGACCCTGGACACTGAGATGGGCTATGAAGAGACAAAGAGCACCAGATGTAGATATCTGAGTGAAAAGGCCATTGTAAAAGTGGATCCTCTATCCTCAGCAGCCTCAGCTTATAATGTATGGATTAGAGACAACAAGACTCCTCTCACATTCTTGACCCCCACAATCATGAGCAAAATAAAATCACTCTTTTAAGCCACTCAGCTTGGGCAGTTATGCAGCAGTAAATAACTGAAACAGAACAAAATGGATATGATCACTTTGGAAAATCATATGGTATTATTTTGGAAAGCTAATGATGTGTATGCCTATGACTGAATGATTCCACTTCTATGGGATCTCTCGTACATGTATACTATGAAATAGGAATAAATGCTGAGAGCAAATGTTCATAATAGGAACAAAAAGAACTCAAATGTCCATCAAGAGTAGAATAGATAAATGTGCATGGTATATGAGCACATGAAAGACTCTTCAGCAGTGAAAAGTAACAGACTATCACTGCACACATCTACATAGTTGACAAAACATTAACAGTGAGGAAAAAAACAGTCTTGAGGAAATGATGCATGTGACGAAAAAAACATAGCATTTACATAGAGATCAAGAAAAAATGAAATAAACAATATTTTGTGTATATATATATATATATATATATATACATGCATGTACACATACACAGAGAACTTTTTTAAAGTTAAGCAAAGGAAGAATAACAAAATTCAGAATAGTAGTTAGTTCTTGGGGCAGGCAATGTATGTAGTCTAAGAAGGGAACCTAGGACATTAAAGATATTAGTGATATTTTTGTTTTATAAGATAAGTGGTGTTGGAACCAGCAGTTAGTGTAATGGCTATGTCACTGAACTCCCATGTAGTTGTCCATGGTTTGAGTCGTGGACCCGGTGGCTTAAACTCACGCCAGGCACGTGTGTGTGCATGCCCAAAATCCCAAGAGCTGAATGGAGGAGAAGGGATTGCAGTGTGCCCATCCATCCCCCCTGGGGTTATCTCTTGCTTTCTGTCTCTCTGTCTCTCTCTGTCTCTCCGGCGAGCGCACATGCCAGTAGAAAACCCTAAAAAAAAAAAAAAAAAAAAAAAAAAGAAAGAAAGAAAGAAAGAAAAGAAATAAGTGGTGTTGAGGAGAGGGGAAGATGACTAATGTAGTTATTCTTTAAATCAATGTTGACAATCTTTCTTCTATAAAGGAAAAGAGACTAAATATAGAAAAGAGACTATAAATAGTTTTGCAGGTTGTATACAATCTCTTTCATATCTACTTCTTTCAGGTTATTTTATAATCTTAAAATATGTAAAAACCAGAGCCAGCAGGTGGCGTGGTGGCTAAGGGTGATGGACTCCCACATGGCTGACCAGTTTGAGTCCCAAACCTGGCAGCTTACTTTTTCACTTTCTCTCTCGCTCTCGCTCTCGCTCTCGCTCTCTCACTGTTCCTCTCCGGTCAAATTAAAATAAATTTAAGACATAAAGTTAAATAAAATAATTCTAAAACAAAAAAAATGTAAAAACCATTCTTAACTCATGGCCATACAAAGAAGCCATGCAGGGCCAGTAGGTGGCATGGTGGTTGGGGTTCTGGATTCCCATATGGCCAACTGTGGTTCAAATCCCAGACCTGGCAGCTCTCTCCCTCTCTCTCTCTCTCTCTCTCTGTCTCTCTCTCTATCTCTATCTCTCTCTCTCATCAAGCTGAAGACAAAAAAAGAATAAATAAAATAAAATAAATAATTGTTTAAAACTACAACAAAGAAACTGCAGGCTAGATTTGGCACATATGCCATAATTTACCAACTTCTAATTTAAATTGTTTATATATGATTTCCTGACTTTTGGGTACATGATTTATTTTTTCCCTCTACAAAAAAAGAAAAGGAAAAAACAAAACAGGAAGTTTATAGAGAAAATACACATATTCTTCCTAACTCAGATCAAAAGCCAATCCATTAAGGTTCTACTCTCTTGGCAGCCCTCTGGACCACTTCAACTTAAAAAAAGAATGTCACTTTCTCTGTTTCATAGGGAAAAAAATAACAAAATGCTCCTACCTTCTTGTTCACTCTAGACTTTAAGCAAATTCTAAATGCCAAAGTCAAAATGGCAGTAGTAATTTAGACTACTGCTTGGGCAGGAGAAATCATTGATCAAATTCATAGCTAAATTTCCAGTTTAGCAATGATAATGATCATTAAATAATATAATCTAATGAGTATCTGCTCTTCACTCAAAGCTAACATTTCTTGAGTCTTACTGTGTGCCAGACACTGATTTCATGCTATGTACATAATTTTGTTTTATTTCTCACAATTATCCCATGTGTCTTACTATTAACTCAATATTACAGTGGTAGAAATGGGGGCATTGAGAGATTAAGTCACTTGCTCAAGGTCACATAACTAGGAAGTGATCCAACACCCAAGCAGTTGGATCCAGAGCCCACGCTCTTAACCATGGACACTATTCTAATTGTTTAATGCATTTGTCTTTTTTACCACAAATGAAGTGGTATTTTTATCCCCATTCTCCAGATTAAGAATGTGTACTTGCAACTGGCCCTGGTCCAGGAACCCTGATTGGAGGCTGGGACTTAAACTGATGCTGCTTATGCTATTAACACTCCATTTGGCTTATTTAAAAAACATTTTCCAAGTCCCAGCTTGTCAGTAGTGAGTGAAAAGTTGCTAAGAAAAAAACAGGTACAATAAGCCAGACTTTCATCTGTGTATCTCCATGGTGACAGGCGGCAATCTTGCATCAAGGCCATGGGAAAATAATCATATTCCAATTCCTAGGGCCCAAACTTGGCCTTTAAGGGAAGTGGGCAGGACATGAAAGTTATTACAGAAATGAAGAGAAAATTTGGGATGCTATAAAATGGAAAAAAAAAAAAAAAAAAAAAAAAAAAAAAAAAAAAAAAAAAACCATCAGCTGTATTTCTACCAAAATCAGAATGTGAAAGAATCATTATCATTTACTTGGCAAAAACTGTGTTTATGTTTTTTTTTTTTTTTTTTTTTTTTTTACCACCACCACTCCCAGCTCTTTTTCATAGAGAGTCTCACAAAGTTGTCTAATCCAACCTCAAACTGGCAATTTTCCTTCCTCAGCCTTAGTCACTAGAATTACAGGGGCATATGTCCACACTCAACCTTTGGACCAAGAATCAAATCCGGGTTTTCCATATGGTCCCAGCCTGTTGAGCACAGTCTTAGAAGCATCTTAACATGGCATGCGACCATGGCTGGAGCCTTCAACAAATATTTTAAAGCACCTACTCTGTGCCATGACCCTTGACAGATGCTGGGATACAGAAATAAACATGCAATGGTCCTCTTCCAAGAGTTTGGAATATATTCCCAAGGCCCCTAGAGTAACAGGTATTTTGTTTGTGCATCTTGCTATAGAGTGTTTGTACTTGCCACAATCCTTTCTCTTCCATTCTCCTTCTGGGATTTTGGGCACACACCCACACACATGTGGCATGAGTTTTAAGCTGCTGGGTCTGGGACTCAAACTATGGTTAGCCATGTGGGAGTCCACCACCGTTACCACTAGCCCTGCTGGCTTGAGTAACATATTCTTAAAAGAATACAAAATGGGGCCTGGCACAGCAATGATATAACCAGACCCACATGGGAAAGGTCCTGGATTCATGTCTTGGGATCTTCCTGAGCATACCAGGCATGCCTATGTACCTGTGATCCAAGGTGGCTGAGACTGGTGGTGGATCGTAGCAAAGGCCCCATTGGGGTGCCTATCTTTCTTTCTCTCTCCCACTTCACTCTCAGAAATAAATAAACTTTTTTTTTTTTTTAAAGGAAGAGAAAAAAAATACACACAAAGGGAGGAGTTGGTTCTTTAGGCAAAAGGATGACATCTCTGGGCAGGCCACTCTGTTGGCCATACTAACACCCCCACCCTGCAGCTGGGGCAAATGGCAGAACCAGAACCACATCCCACTCTGTTGAACTCCCTGGGGAAATTCTCTCTCTAATGGGTTTTCTCTTGATCATGGGATGGGGATGGGG